ATCCTATCCCTACCTTCCAGCATATCTACCTCTCCTCCCAGTTTAGTATCATCTGCAAACTTGCTGAGGGTGCAATCCACACCATCCTCCAGTTCATTAATGAAGATATTGAACAAAACCGGCCCCAGGACCGACCCTTGATTTTAGCAAAGCTTTTGATATGGTCTCCCACAGTATTCTTGCTAGCAAGTTAAAGATGTATGCGCTGAATGGACTATAAGGTGGATAGAAAGCTGGCTAGATCATCGGGCTCAACGGGTAGTGATCAATGGCTCCATGTCTACTTGGCAGCCGGTATCAAGCCCATCATAGGATTCTCCCTCAGCTACCTGGCGTGCCACACTGCCTTGCTTCCATTACCTCACAATCATAAATGTGCTGAGGGTGTTTCCCTTTCACTAAGGGTACCTTTCATTCCACAACACTTTTTCAAACAGACCAAGTCACAAGCAAATTGCAGCAGAAACTCTCCACACAACTTCTCTTCTTCACACAGATCACCCCCTGAGCTTCTTGATGACCTCCTGAGGTCCCTTCCAACCCTGGTATTCTATGATTCTGGTATTCTATGATTCTCTCTCTGCTTCTTGTTCCTACCAATTACTACCAATTGTATCAATGGCTTGGTAATTACCACTCAGGTGCTCATAATCCCCCAACAGAAAGTAGTTAACTGTTTCCAGACTTTTCTGTGCTGCAGCAATGTCAGTGATCAGGGTGCTGCTGCTAGTACTCTGTCGAACAGTTAGTGGACAATGAGGTGCTAAAGATGCACTCAAGGAAGACAAGGTCATTATGGAGAAGGTACATGACTATTTTGCATCAGTCTTTACTGGAGAGGATTCTTTTTAGGAGACAAATCTGAGGAACTGTCCTAGATTGAAGTGTCAATAGAGGAGGTTTTGGAACAAACTGATAAATTAAACAGTAATAAGTCACCAGGACCAGATGGTATTCACCCAAGAGTTCTGAAGGAACTCAAATATGAAACTCCACAATTACTAACTCTGTATCAGACGACTGGAGGATAGCTAACATAATGCCAAAGGCTTCAGAGGCAATCCTGACAATTACAGGCTGGTAAGTCTAACTTCTGTACTAGACAAATCGGCTAAAAGAATAGTAAAGAACAGGCAGGCTCAGTGGGACCCCAAGCACATCAGGTGGCACCCCGGAAGGGGGGTCCAACCCATCACAGTGGTGCAGCGAGCAGGGTTGTGTGCACAGCTTATTGCTCTGAGACACTGGTGGTGATTTTAACTCTGTCGGCCAGGGAACAGAAAAAGTGATTACTGGTTTGTTATTTTCTATTTGCTTATTTCGGGCAAGGGAAGTAGGAGCAGAAAAGTAGGAAAATGAGTGCAAGTAAAGCTACCAAAAAGTTGGAGCTCTACAGATTGCAGATAGAAGAAAGCAAAAAAAGAACACAAAAGATGTATGGAATTCCAGGAAGCAGAATAAGCCAGACAAAAAGCAGCCCATGAGAGGGCCATGGAAACCCAGAAACTAGCCATGGAACTGAGACAGCTAGAGACTGATAAAGAAAGTGAAGCCTGGAAGCGAGCAATGGAGGAGTGTGACAACTCTGTATTTCGGGGGAACACTCTGCATCCCCATGTTCTTCCTTATAATATGATTGTGTGATATCCAAAGCAAAGTTTGTCATGTCGGGTGTCTTTTGAAGTCTCATGGTGCACTGAGCATTGTTGTTTATAGAGTTATGAGACTGAAAATGTGTCCTCATGGCTTAAAACAAGCCCAGACAAAACTCTCCAGGAACAGAGGGGCGGTTCACACCTCATCAGGACATGTATGGGACAAACCCAGCCCAGCCTCACAGGAACAAAGGACACTGGCCTAGGCAGCAACAAAGGATCTGTTGGATTCTCGAGTAAGTCACCCCCATACCCTTGATCAGTCAGGGACTACAATGAGGTAATGCTCACCTGACCCTGAAGGGGGGTGGCAAAACCAAGAGGGAAGAAAGAACATGATAAAAGGGAGAGACATTTGCCATGCTCTTCCTCTCTCTTCCACCTCCATCTACAGACATCACCACCAAGCGACTGAAGCACTGATCAAAGGGGAGAGCCTGGCTGATGGGCAACCAGCCAGCCTGTGGTGAGACGCATCTAAGTTTGTAAGGGCATTGAAAGTGTTAAGATCAGCTTAGAATGCATTTTGCTTTTATTTTGTTTGACCAAATCTGACTTCTTGTGCTTTGACTTATTATCACTTAAAATCTATCTTTTGTAGTGAATAAATTTGTTTGTTTATTCTACCTGAAGCAGTGCAGAGACTCCCCTTGGAATAACAAGCTTGGAACATACCAATTTCTTTGTTAAATTGATGAACCATATAGGCTTGCAGCGTCCAGTGGGCATAACTGGACACTGCAAGACAGAGGTTCCTAAGGTTGTGTCTGGGACCGGAGATAATGGCTAGTGTAACTCAGTTGCACAATCCAAGCAGTAGCTGGCCAAAAGTGCCCACTCACGTAGCTGGGAGCAGCTTACATCCAGAGGCTGTGCGTGAACATCCCAGGAGTGGGGGTTCTCACAGCAGAGTAGGTAAGGCTGGCTCCCAGAGTCGAGGACTGAAGTGGCCTAGCAGATCACCAGTCCAGATAACACCAGGGGAACATCACAAGGAGAAAGAAAAAGACAGAAAGCATGAACTAGCCTTAATGGAATGGAGGAAACAGAACCCGACACCAGGGGCTCAACCTCTCCAAAAATCCACAAGTGGAAGGGGTTGTGTCCTGCATCCAGCGAGTCTGGGGACAGTATTGAATATTTCATCACCTTTGAGAGGCTGTGTGTGCTCCATGAGATTCCTGAGGATCAACAGATGACCATTTTGGTTGCAAAGTTCTCTATGAGAGCTCTGGATATATTCAATAAAATGTCAATTGATGATGTTTCAAATTATGGAAAATTTAAGGAATTGGTTTTAAAACAGTTTCAGATTACACCTGAAACTTATAGAGTAAAATTTAGAAGCTTTAAGAGAGGGGCTGGATTGAGTAATGTGGCATATGTAAACTAAATGAGAGATTTACCGGATAAGTGGGTAAGGGGAAAAGGTATTTCAAGCTTTAAAGAAATGTGTGATTTGGTAGCTCAGGAACAGTTCCTGAATATGTGTAATGATGATGTAAAACAGTGTTTATGGGATAAAAAGGTAAAAATGGTCAAAGAACTTGCAACTTTTGCTGATGAATTTGAACAATCCCAAGCATCTATTAGGTATAGATCACAGGCAGAGGGGTTTAAGTTTGGTGGGAAGCAGACTTCCCGTTTTACCCCTGGGAAGGAGGAGGGTGGATGGGAGGCTGGACGCTATAAAATCATGAATGGGGTGGAGAAAGTGAATAGGGAAGTGTTATTTATCCCTTCACATAGCACAAGAACCAGGGGTCATCCAATGAAATTAATAGGCAGCAAGTTTAAAACAAACATAAGGAAGTACTTCCTTAACAAACACACAACCTTCTGTTGCCATCAGAAGTTGAGAAGGCCTGTTCTTCTTTCTATTGAAAAAGCAGCAAAGAGTCCTGTGACACCTTATAGACTAACATGCATCTGAAGAAGTGGGTATTCACCCACGAAAGCTCATGCTCCAAAACGTCTGTTAGTCTATAAGGTGTCACAGGACTCTTTGCTGCTTTTACAGATCCAGACTAACACGGCTACCCCTTTGATACTTGTATTGAAAAAGGATTAGCTAAATTCATGAAGGCTAGATCCATTAATGGCTATTAGCCACATGGTCAGGAACGCAACCCCATACTCTGGGTGTCCCTAAACCTCTGATTGCCAGAAGCTGGGACTGGACAACAAAGAACGGATCACTCCAATTTGTCCAGTTCTGTTCATCTGGCACCAGCCACTGTAATGGGTTAGACAGAATAGTGGTCTAACTCCTTATGGCATTCTTATATTCCCCCTGCTGCCACCAAGAACCCCAGAGAAAAACAATTAGATTTTTGTAAGTGCTCTTCCAACTCACCCGGTAAAATGCAGAAGAAGATGGCTGGTCTTGTGATGGTGAAATGAATGATGGTCCACCATACTGTGCCAAGAACACCGAGAAATCTGATTTTTTAACTTTTTGCGGCTCCTGGAAATAGTTCAACTTTGCTAAAGTTGGGGAGGGAAAAAAACAAATCCACCATCAAATCACTAGACAAAGATTGTGGAAAGGCTAATGTTGTGCCACTGTTCTCAAAGAGATGACTTGGGTAAATATAGGCTTGTTAGCCTGACATCAATGCCAGGCAGAAAAAGGAAAAGCTGATATGCAATTAGTAAAGGACAATAGTATATTTAATGCCAATCAACATGATTTCAGGGAAAATATTTTATGTCAAACAAATTTTATCTTTTTTTTATTACAAGTATGGTTGATAAAGGTAACCATGACATAATATGCTTAGACTTCTGTAAAGCATTTGACTTAGTCCCACATGATATTCTGATTTTAGTAAAAATTAGCACTATACAAACCAATGTAGCCCATACTAAGTTAATTTAAAAACTGATTAAATGATAAATCTCTAAGTAATTATAAGTGAGCAAGTGATGGGGTAGTCTGCCCCTTAAGGGCAGTAGCTCAGTAGTAGTTGTCAGCCCACCCCACCACATGGCATGGTCCTTCAAGGGTTCGAAAGGTCCAAGAGGACCAAATGGGGATGTGGGGAGGAAATAGTCCTGGGAATGAGTAGTTCTTGGGAGAAAATCCTGTAACTGTATCCTTTAAGGGCCTAGGGCCAGGAGCCTTCCAGAGAGGGCGGGGCAAGGCTCCCCTCTCCTCCCAACCAACTGGGAATGAGCTGGGAGAAGGGCACCAGCATAAATAATGTTCTTCTTCGAGTGCTTGCTCATATCCATTCCATTAGGTGTGCGCGCGCCGCGTGCACGATCGTCGGAAAATTTTCTACCCTAGCAACACCGGCGGCGCGGGCGTGGCGGGCGCCCTGCCGGCGCCCTTTCTGCGCCGCGACTACACAC